CGGCTAGAATACAAAAGTACTCCTGGGCAGACTCAGAATGGGTTTCACCATGGAAACGGTGAGGCTGTTATTTCCAGCTACCTTCCAGCCCTGATTACCAGAATGACAGGAGCATAAACGCAGTTACTGAGGGGCTATCAGCATTATCGAGTGGTTAGCAGCCCGGAGCCCTCCCGCACTGCCATTCCAGCATGATATCCATGTCAAACACACACACACACAGACACGTGTGTCTACATGTGTATGTGTCATGAGTGTGGTGAGTGTATAAAGCTAGGTTCCCTTTCCAAAATGGACATGATTTCAGATTTTACTTTTAAAATGCAGAGAATGCTATTGAAGGTCATCAGCATTAATTTCTGCCTCCTTATAAGATGTAACAGACTCAGGACATGAGAAAGTGAGGCTGGAATAATGATGAAAGGGACTAGATGGGCAAACAGAAGTTGGGAAACGCGTGGGAGGGGCTGTCAGGTGCCGAAAGTGAGGTTTTGTGTGCGTGTCGTGAGCGCTGGGAGCCGGCTAGGCGCCCGGGGAGCACTGGAGCATGAACTGGTGAAACGATTTTTTTTCCAGATGAAAAATCGATTGGAGGCTTACTAATTAATTTATTTTTTACAAGGCTCCATTTAAATGTTTGCTCTGTGAAATAACTGAGTTACCGGAGGTTGGGAGTGAGTATTTGGAAATGGAAAGGAACCTGGTTCAGAGTCAACGGCCAAAGGGCAGGGCTAAGCAAACACTTCTCCGCAACCCCGTGCGGGTCTGCTGTTTGCGATGGTCTTTTGTAACATTTTACAGATAACCTAGGACTCTCCTAATAAGGAGGGGTCGACCTGATGAGGAGGTAAGAGGCAAGAAGCCATGGAAAGAGCAGGGCGTGCAGGCAGGTGTGGCCTTGTCTGAGATAAGGTGGTAACAAGTGACTCGCCCGAGGACTCTGTGACGGATGCTGCAGACTCAGAAAGCGGAGGGAGGGAGGGAATGGTGCTGTGGGACCCACAGGAGACTTTTGCCAGTGGTCTCTCTCTGTCCACGAAAAGTTCCGGAAGAGGGTGTCGGCAGAAGATTGGCATCCTGGGCCATTAGCCACTGAACAAAGCAAACTAGTTTCTGAAAGAAGAATGTATTGACAGCCTGGGTCAGAATTATTTTTCTGTGTTATAAAGTGGTAAGGCCTACTTTAAAATCACTGAATAAGAATTGTAAGAGTGAAGCAAGAAAATCGCATTTTAATAAGATGCTGCATGATTTTTGCAAGCAAATGAGAGGAAAATGAAAAAAAATTAATATTAAGGTAGATGATACTGTTAGGGGAAACTGATGATGATGAATCAAAAAAAATGTCCACAGTGTTCAGAATTGTTTTGGAGCACAGAAACATCTGGAGAGTTGTTTTTCAATTCATATTGGAAGATATTAGAATAATCTAAAGATGTTAGCTTAGATCAATCTTAGTTATGACCATAGAAGAAAAACTAAAAATATATAATGTGAATCCAGCAGCACATTACCTGACTAGTTGACTATTGCAAAAACTGTTTGTACCAGACACGGAAAAAGTAATTGTATAACAGAAAAACTGTTAAAACAATTCACCAAATCATTGTAAGAAAAAAACTCCAACAATGCATCATCATCAAGATGATGAGACAGATTCGAGAGAGGTTTCTGACAACAGTCAACATCCGCCCACTCCTGATAGGGTTTTTAGTAAAATATAAATATTTCTTGCAATGCCCAGGGCAACAGTTTAACTGCTAGGGCACAAGAGGCCTTCTTTTGCGAGAATGTGTTCCACGGCTGATACTTTCCTTCCAAAAGCACTAGTCAGTGTGGCAAGACAAGAACAATGAGATGTAAATAGAAATATTGGAGATTTTCAGACAGCATGATTGTCTGCCCAAACAAGCCTAGAAATAAACCTGAAAAAAAAAACCCCACCGCATATGAAGGAGTTCAACATGGTGGCCACTTAAAGTACCAAAAACAAATAAAAAAAAAACACGCTGGAACAAAACACTTGTACAGCAACCAAAATGATAAAATGCATAGAAATAGCATCACGAATAATATTTAGATCTACCCAAATGGGACAATAAAATGTTTTCACCCATATAAAATATCATTATTATACAAGAAAAATTGTCAAATGGAGAAAATGCCACCTAGTAATGATTGTAATACCACTTTATTTTCTATAAAATACAATATCATTTGCTATTATATTGGAGTAAATGTAATCAAATGGTCCAGAGTTTTATTCAGAGTATAAACATGAAAAAATTACATTTTAAGGACTGACGAGGGCAGACTTGCCAGAGTGTGTTACCTGAAACTGTGCAGTTCTGGGAAGGTGCAGAAAGGATACACTAAAGTCCCTACTGGGTGGAAGTATATTCAGATAAATGTCGATGAGAAGAGGGAGGGAGGAAGAGAGAAAAAGAAGAGGGAGCACATTCGTATCTATAAAAAGGAATCCTAAGAGGATATTTAAAGCCAATGAAAACCATCCACAGACTTGAGAAGAACAAGCAGCACGTGCTGGGCCACGCCCTGGGAACTGGAGGGCTGGGTGGTGCTGGAGGAAGCCCCGAGAGATCACACTAACGCCAACCGGCCTTGTTTCGGTAACAACTGCCTCCAGGTCAGCTAAAAGCAAGTGCCACTCTATAGATCATAAATCAGAAAACTAAAGGATATTCTTTTGCCCTTGATAGAAGACATGACTCAAAAAGTGTTTTGCTTTGTATTTCACTTTTTAGCATTAACTCTAAAAAGTATTTGTATCAATCCGTACTTCAATATCATCTATAATCCTAAGAGGGAAGGTAGATTTAGATGACTAGATTTATTGTTTTATTTCACATAATGTTATAACTGAAAGGGAATTTGGAATTTGTTTATTTATTGAGAGACCTCACGCCATGCAAAATTGTCTTCACCCTCAGGAATAAACACACACACGCACACACACACACAAGAGTCACCTGCAAACTGTGATAATTTTTTGGCAAGTTTGTAAGTGTCGGAGAGCTGTTTGCTTCACGTTGACGGCCACTCCAAAGTTGGGCCGCCACGCCCATAGTTCTCCTGTCTCTCTCCGGCTCGTCTGCACAACAGAGCGTCACATTATGAGTCACCTCACCTTCCTGATGACGGGCGCCTCGATATTTAAAGAAACCCATTCTGTTACTGCTGTCTCTTCCTAGGTAGGCTGTGGACAATCTCGTTTTAGTTCAGGATGCACCTGTGCTGTGCGCCCAGTGGACTCCAGCTACTAGGTGAAGATGGGATCCGTGTTTTCGTAAATTTGATAACTCAAGGAAGCAAACCTGCATGACCTTTGCCAACTTACCTCTGTAAGAGCCACGTGTCCTTTCGAATTTGCTGAGGCACCCAGAGCAAATTTGAACCCATTTAGCTTGCTGTCAGGATTACGGTCACTTTGTTGAAAACGAACTGCCCTTTTATCTGACGAACAAAGGAAGCGTGTCCGACGACGGGTTTCCGAGACACTGGTGGCGTTCTCTGCGCGGGGGTGTGTGCTCGGTGGTGTGTGTGAGTGTGCAGGACCGTGGATGAGTGGGGGGGGGGGTGTGTGCATGCCCGTAGTGTCCTGCTGGAAGATGCTGTGACTTTCAGGGTTTCTTTCTGGAGGAATTTACAAGGCCATCTTGATTTCTGCCCCTTTTTTCCACTTTAACATATGAAGTGAGTAAAACACAAAGGATGGAGCGCACACGAGAAAGGGATGAAGAGGGATGGCAAGTTTATGCCTGTCTTTAGGAACAGAGGTGAAGGGAGCGAGCTTTCAGGGCTTTTTGAAAGCGTAGCAGAGAAAACTTGGATTCCCGTTGATAATGAGAAGCCTTTTACTGTTACGGCGTAAGAGACAGCTTTAAAAATAGTCATGAAGATTTCTGACGGTACAGCACTGAATGTAGTAGTGAAATATTTCTTTAATACATGAGCATATTCATATGTTAATTTTTCTCCAGTTTTGTCTCCCATGGGTGCTCCTGCCAAAAAACCAAAACTAGAAAACTATCTAGTCTGTATGGGTAGCATTATCAAAGTTTTGTGATGTTAGGAAAAAATGAAATGAAATCTTTGTTTGTATAAACACTGAAATGTTTCTGTTAGCTGTTTTTTGCAGTCCTGACTTATAATACGTGTATTTGAGACGAAGAAAATTTTAAATGATGATTATTAACAAGTCACAAGACACTGAACACAGTTGTTCCTTTCACTCAATATTTGGGAAATATAATTATGCCATCACATGGAAGGAAGATTGAAAGAATTTAGGGGGGAAAGCGGATACATTTATTGAATAAATATTATTTTTGAGTGTTGATATCATTTTGTAGAGGGTTAAGTATATAATGTTCAGCATCGTGGTTGATTTGCCTGGTTCATATCTGTGGTGACTGTCACGTTCTATTGGAAATGAACTCTCCTCTCCTGACCCATGTCTGGGTCACTCGGAGTCTAAATAAATAAATAAGGAGGGGAAGGGTCCCGGGATGTGGCTGCCATACAGTCAAGGTGAGGTGAAAGGCTTGTTAGAAGTAAACGATCAGGCGAAGCCCCTTAAGATTTTGATACAGCGCATCTGGGGCGGTTCTGCTCAGACTGGACTTTTCAGGCATTCGGTTACTCCCCACGATGGGGAGCAAAACTGGGAAATGCTGACTCAAAAATTATTTGACAGACGCATATGAAAGGCTTTTGTATCACTGCTGGTTTGAATTACCTGTACCGCTCACTACACCCACTAGTACAGATAACTGAATGAACTGCCTGATGGCATTTGAACTGGGGTTGTGTTGGGTTGAAAAGTGACTGCTTCTTTCCGTAGCACTCCGCGTTTTACCCGGTCCTCATATATATTCTTTGTGATTGGGATTCACTTAAAGTCTAATGCAGATAGTTTTTAATTGTTCTTATGCGTTAGTTTTCCGTTTAATTAATTATGTTTTGTTTTCTGTTTGCAGGGTACAAGTTGAATTCTTTATGAATGAAAACACATTTAAAGAGAGACTAAAGTTATTTTTTATTAAAAACCAGAGATCAAGTAAGTCATTCATTTTATTCCCCTGTCTGCTTGCACATATATATGTATCCCCAACAATTCCCTTGCAATTCCTGCAAAATATTCTTTAAATAGAGCAGTACAATAAACAATCTTGTCTGCCAGGCAGTAGCATTTTAGAAAACTGTATAGACTTTGCCTCTGCTGGTGTTAAGGTCTCTTGACCTTAAAGGCGATTAAAGGCATTTGATTGTCCAGATCCCACGCTAGTAAGTAGGGTTCTGAGTGAGCCACCTGGACCAGGGAGGGGGTCGTCACAGCTTTTCTGTGGGGGCACCTTATTATGAGAAGGCTCTCATAATTCAGACTGACCCTAAGGGAGAGAACAATGGTCTGATTTCCTGGGGGCAGAGTTCAGTGTTGCCCAGAGGTGCGCGGTGACAGAGAACGGGGAGGGGACTAGCACCCTTTCCTGGAGAAGCTGGGCCGGGAAGTGCAGAGCTAAGCTCAGAGTTTAACACCCCCAGGGGTTCTTAGCATCGGACCAACTGGGGACAGCGTTGGGACTTCAAGAGGATATGCAATTGGCAGCCCCTGACCTAAACTTATTCAAGGTCCAGTGTCAAAGCATCCTTCTTGCCTCCCCATGACACCACGAAGTTTTGAAAGCCATGCACGATGGGGCATGATGCAGTTTTTCGGGTGGGCAGTGCTTAAAACGCCGACGGACGGTGGGGACGTCTATCCTATATCGGCGTCCACTTTGCCCTCTCTGACTGGGACCCCGATCCCCCTAGGGGCGGTCTTCACTAAGTGGGGGTCTCTGCGGGGTCCAAAGAGAGCAGCCTGGGTTGTGGGAAATGGTCCAAAGGCTGGTGGCAGGGGCCTGTTCAGTGTGTGAGGCTCACTGGCCAGGGGCGTGGTGGAGGGTGCGCTCCGGGAGCAGGCCAGCGCTCACGCACGCCGCTCCCCTCCGACCGTTTGGAATGTCCACGGGAACCTCGAGGACAGATATCACCCACAGGGGGCCACATCTTTTGAATAAAAGGTTTCCTTGATTTTTTAACACTAACAACCCTATCTCTCCAGGCCAGAAAAGATAAATGCATGATTTGGCTATTTCATTAGCAGCCAGCTTTGACTAAGCCGTCATTTGGGGAGGCAAGTTCTATAAAACCAGGACAATTTCATTAATAATTTAAAAGACTTTCTAAAGAAGCTAGCCCATAAAAGGCGCAGAGCATTGTAATAGCAAAGCTTAGGAAAAACTGCACGATTAATGAGCCCTAACCTTTTGCTGTTAAGAAATGTCACCTGAGGTGCACTCGCATGTAACGGGGTAAAAACTGGCACTTCATTTCCAGATTTTATTAACTAATAATTACAGGAAGACTGTTCTCTCAATTTTATTCATAATGCATGAATCAGAAGCTGCCTGATTGTTACAGGAAAGGTAATGCTTCTATTAATCAGACTTCGGGCATGTTTTGCTCATCTTAATTGCCCTTTTTCACCTTCATTAAGTATGACAGACTGCATAACGGTGACCCACACAGTTTCAAAAGGGACATCCATGACAATCTTACTCCCCACAAGAATACTGAGATTTCACTGGTTCATTAACCCAAAGGGAAAAGAAAACATCCACTGGTCAAATTCAAAATGCCTGTGTGTATTCTGTATTTCCCAGCATAGTCTATTATGATTTCTCCATAATTACACAGTTACTAATTAGAAGTATAATGTATAATTATAGACATGATTATAATTTCTCTATAATTAAAATCTGCAAGGTATGCGGAAGGTACGAGTTTTGTGACTTATGCTGTGAATGTGTAAGCAGCTAGATGTTCTAGCTGGCTAAGATTTACTTTCAAACTCATGGATATATAAAATGCTTAACCTTCTAAGCATTTCTGAAACAATGCTGAGGAGACACAGTTTTTGTGGCCTCTGGGTGCTCAACCCCAGACTCCCTCTCCACGTAGGTCTGCTCTCACGGGAGTCCACGCATTCCGTCAATCACGCTCTTTGTTTCAATATTCAGATCATTAAAATGCAGCGACCTAGAACTTCAGCGAATTTAGGCAATTGTGGCATTGTAGTTTCTAAATACAATTTAAGTGCTGTACTTAAAGTTGATATTTTTGACAAGTCTTTTTAAAAGTCTTTTGTGGACTAAATTCAAATGAAAATCAAATTTCTGTTGTTTGTTTAAAGGTCTCAGAATACGCCTGTTCAATTTTTCTCTCAAATTATTAAGCTGCTTATTATACATAATCCGAGTGCTATTAGAAAACCCTTCACAAGGAAATGAATGGTAAGGTACTTCTGTCTGACCCTCAATGATATTCTTTGATTGCTTTGAATTGCATTATAACTTTAAAGGATGTTATATAGAATTCATTTTTTTTCCTAAAGATGCTTTAGGTGTTTGTTGCAATTAAATCGAGCTGCCTTTCAGGTAATACACAGATATCACCTTTGCAAGTTCTTTTTAAACATCTCTGCTTATAGTCTGTATCTGTTCCTCTAATGCTAATACTGGACACCTACCTGTAACGTTTTTACTGCTAATCAAAATACCCCAAGTCACTGTGCAATGTGGGTCCGTCTCTGTAGACAGCCAGTAACTTTCTATTCTGCATTTACATGCATTGTTCTACTGTGAACCAGCTTTGTGAGTATTTTCGGCGACGCTCTAGCTGTTACTCTTGAAGAGAAACTCTTCAGCATCCATGGGGGCACGTGACTGTCAAGTTCAGAGTTAGTCTGTGTAGTTCTTTATCTTATTTGAGTGACATGGCTTCTGGATTTAACTTATTTTTTATTCATGATCCTGTTGCTTTTACTGATCACACAGTTATTGCATGGATGGGTTTGCCTGTTTATTCTCTGTTTTCGTTGGAAGCAGCAGAGCAGGCGACTGGGTGTACGGCGACTCGAATGATGTTGCTCTGATGACCACCTTGGGCCCCTGTCCAGCCCACTACGGTTAAAATGGTTTTCAAAGCAGAAAATAATGTCAATGGTTAACTTTGGTGCAATTATTTTTTCGTGGGGCAATCTGCCCTAAGAAAATTTGCAAAAAATTAAAGTAAACTGGAAACTGAGTACGTAACACGCGTTTACACGAATCGGTTCCCCTTCAGTTTGGTTAGACAGGGAAAAGGATCCTGTATTTATTAAAGACCCTGGGGATTTAAGCCAAAGATTCACATGTGAGATTCTGTTGTGTAATAATTTAAGTCATAATGCTTTAGAAAGTAATTTAATGAAAGAGCATTGTTACTTCACTGGGTCTTTAATGAATGCTCAGCCTGTACTTTCATTGCTCTGAAAAGGAACATTTTCTGCCCTCAGGGAATTTCCAGCCTGTACACAATTGTGGATGCTGGGGTTACTGCTTTTTCTGGCACTGGGCTACTTCTTTTATTTCCTTCAGTATATGTACTTTTGATCCTATTTTCCAGTTTTCTCATATGTGCCCTCAGTGCTAACCATTTTTGTATGTATTCAGAAGTATGTATATTTGCAAATATGTATCTATGGGCATACATATAATTTTTTTCACATTCAGTATTGTTTTGTGTTCGTTTCACGTGTGCCACATGGTGGTTGGCCAGTCCTGTGCTCTACAAAGTGGTCCCCCAATGTTTCCCCTACCCCCAAGGCCCCACACATGGAAATATTTTCACGCCTTTACAAAGGCTGCTTAACTCATCCATCACGTTCTAACTGCGTAGGCGGTTCCTCTGCTGGGCTGTCACTTCCACGGGCCACGTTCCGGTCGGCTTCTCGGGGCCCCTCCCACGGACCAGTGAGTCACAGCTCTGTCCTTCCTCAGACCCTGCTCCCCTGGCAGCCCCGTCCCCACAGCTGGCAGATGCCTGGGAGGCATCCTCACCTCGTTTCGCCTCTCGCTCTGCAGCACCTGCAGAGCCCTGAGCAAGTCCTGCTGTTTCTCCCTTTACCACGCAGCCTACCCTCACCGCGTGTCCCTTCTCGATGCCACCGCCCTGCACAGGCCGACCTGCCACCTGGATGACCACGGTCGTCCTCCTCACTAGTCCTGCCGCTTCTGTCTTTGCTGCCCCTGGTTTATTCGGAAGGTGGCAGCCAGGATTCCTTTAAAACGTAAGCCAGACCGTGGCATGGCTCTGCTCCAAATGCCACAGTGGCCACCATGACCTATAGGGACCCCCACTTTCCTGGGAACTTCACCTCCTGGCGTCACCCCCACCCCATTCTGCCGCCACACTGGCCTCCTCCCTGCCCCCGGGTCCTCAGCAGACACACAGCAGGCTCACAGCCTTCACGCCTGCTCTTGCTTCTGGAATCCTCTCCATGCGACACCACACGACCCACTCCCTCAGATCCTGACCCGGAGTCGGACTTTCGGGGAAGCCTTCCCAAACGTCCCGTTTGGAACTGGAGCGTCCTCACAAGGCTCCCTGGAATACGTGCTTCCTTTTCTGCATCGCCTTTCTGTTCTTTCCGTGTTGCACGTTTTTACGGGTTTCTTTTGTTCTCTGGGTGTTCCACGCGGGTCGAGACGGCTCTTCCACGAGGGCGCAGACCATTGTGTGAAGCCTCAGAGCCCAGCACGCGTGAGGCCCTCAGCAGTCACTTGTTAAGTGACGGAGGGACTTGCTGAGTCTGTGGAGGTCATCTGATGCGCCCCCCTCGCCCTGCCCAGGGCATTAGCAGGAGGAGCCTCGGGGGCCCACCTCTGCAGACAGACGCTGCTCTCTCCGCTGCCTCGGGGCCCTCACCCCGCAGTCTCCGTCTTCCGCCCCTGCCCCTGACTAGCGGTAGGACTCCTGGGCGTTAGAGGTAACAATTTCTTGGATAACTCCGAATCGGAAATGCTTACCCGCTGCCATGACTACAGCCCAGCTCCAGCGTGGGTCAGCGGGGGCTTCAGGTGTTCTGCCCGCACCCCCGAGGGCCTCGGTCACGTCACTCAGTGCACCGATGTGGGTTTCACTGCCACTGACCCTGGGGCAACACGGGAGGCATCCAGGGAAGCCACCCCTCACCCCTGCACAGTCGGAAATCTGAGTGTAACTTTGGACCCTCCCCAGTTGCCTACTGAAAGCCTGCTGTTGACCGGAACCCTTACTGAGGACGTGAACAGTTGACTAACACGTATTTCATATGTTATATGTGCTATATGCTATATTCTGACAACAGGGTAAGCTAGGGAAAAGTGATTTTACGAAAATCATAAGGAGGAGGAAATACATTTACAGTAATCGTTGGTACTATCGAACGAACAGGTGGACCCGGGCAGTTCGACCCTGTGCTACTCAGGGTGGACTGCCTTTACTTCCCTGCTCGCCCCGCACCCTCGCCGAGGACAAGGACCCCGTGGCTCTAACTTCCGGAGCTCCCGTACTTAGCACAGGACGCGGTGGCCCAGCGGGTGCGGCTGAGCTCATGGACTTATGTCAACAGCTTGCTGATAGCCTTGCACCACTGAGGTGATTACAGACCGCGGCCTGGAGACGCCACATTACAAATGCTTTCAAACACATGCCGGAACTGTTTTTTAAAACTTGCTGATTCATGCATAACCTGTACCTTTGAGAGACCGGAAAATCACAAACGGAGTCATGACCGATTCCTTAGAAGGGCAAAAGGGCTCTGGCGGGTGACGCAGACTAGAATAATGTTATTTGAAAGCATGTAGTGGAACAAAGTTTCCTACAATTAACTTCTATGCCATGCTACTAAGTATTTTGAGCCATAATTATAGAGGATATACATTTGAAAAATCAGATTACTGCAATTAGCAAACAACCGAAAGAACTCATGGCCCCATTTTGAATAAATGTTCTGTTTGGTTCCCCTTGTCCAGGCAGTCCTGGCTAATGAGAAACAGAAGTGGCCTTGACGGGCACAGGCTCCCTTTTAAAATAATGCGGCTAATTCAGCCAGGAGATTTATTTAATTAGCGCTGCTGCCGCAAGAACGCCAAGGCTGTTCTGTTCTGTTTTGCTTCATTTTTAAGTCCCTTCAGGAGTCCAAACTGATGGGCAAATGTTGCAAGTCTGAGCAAACTGAAGGACACGCAAAGAATTTTATTGTTCACATGTGAAGCTCAGCAAGTGACAGACTCTGGGAGTACACGCAGTTTGTGGTCAGTGATTTAGGGGTGCTAGCAAAGGACACTGCGCACTCAGCGTGTGGTGCGTGCGTTTCACTGAGACGAGCCGCCAGCTCTGCTCGCTGCCTCCTGCTGCTGATCACGCCTCACGCCGTGCCCAGACTCGCCCGTCCTGTCCGCTTCACAGCTGCTGCAGTGATGGGCGCTTTTAACAGCAAGGGACAGGCCTGAAGGGGTGAAGGCCGTGACTGTGCTCCTATTTCGTGGTATTTGGATTTGCACGTGACATCAGGGGCTGATGGAGCAGCACGTGACGTGCATTCCGGTGACACGCTCCAGTTAAAGATCGGGTAACAACTCTTACAGGAAGAAACACGATTTTGACAATATCTTTTAAATGTCTGGTCACCAACAGGAATGAATACCGTCACATGGACTGTTCACTTTTGTCATGTACATTAGTCACAGTGAAGATGAACGCAGCACCAAGCGCTTTGACGTATATAATCTCAAAAATCCAAAAGAAGTTTGTTTCTGTTTACTACTGCCTAACACTGGTGTTCCTAGTCAGTTTTCTAGACCCTTTCCTCTCTTCACACACACACACACACACACACACACACACACACACACCAGGGCAACTGCAACATCATGTATGTAAGCCACTTTCATTGTGCGGCTAGCTGTTGGCCTAAAGGGCCCTTGCAGTCGGCCTTCAGACACATGGAGAGCACGCAGAGAAGGGACACACGCTTCTTAATGCCACGGGCCGTTACTCTCGCTTGTGTTTCGGGCTCAGACCTCATGTGGGCACCCGTCACATCCAATACCTTGACCCAAAGCCTCAAGGATATATTCGAACAAAGGGAGAAAGGGAGAGTGAGTGTTGACGGACTGAGGCTACTGCCTCAGCCGATGTCTGATGGAAAGACCCCCGAGGATGCCCCCCGCCCAGCCGCGCACACTCAGTCCTTCATTGTCTCCCCAACACCTGGACAGGTCCTCGTCGGCCTGGTGTGGAGCCTACCCAGCGCTTCTGGAGAGGGTTCCGGTACTGAAAACCTCCCGAATGTATTGTGAAGAGTCTACTACGCTTCGGTATCTCAGTCGCTTTGGTGCGGGACTCGTCTTGAACTTTGCCTGTCCTGGACATGCGGGTCTAGGACCACGCCTGGTCCTCGGTTCTCAGTGTCTGGTGCCTGCAGGCGTGTTTCCTGGCTTCCCTCCCTGGTTTAGATCACACTTGTGTTAATAAGATACAAGCGCGCATTTGTTTTCTTCGGAAGGCTATCGACCTGAGTTCTCGAGTCTGTGACCCATGGGTCACCCCCCGAGGAACTCTGCCCCCACACACCGACCCTATCACCTCCACATGTTTATGCAACGTTTTATTCTTCTGGGGGTCACAATCACCCCCTGGCCTCCACCCCAGCTACCAAAGCTGATCGGACATTTCCAGCAGCCGTTTTCCTGCCCGTAGGCGAGGCCACAGGCACGCGTGCTGTGGAACGTGAGGAAGGCTCTGGCTCATGAACTGTCCCTACTTTGCTTCTGCTGAGACTTCCGTTGTTTGGTAGGCCTCTTCCTGTCGTGATAGCGAATCTTCAAACGTGAGTTGTAGCTGTGGGCCCAGCTACAATTCATTCACAATAACTGGATGAGATCAGTTTTGCTTTTATGTGTGCTTCTGTTTCATTTTTATGTTTATAATTTAAAAAGTGACATCTTTTATTATTTTAGAAATGGTTTATGATGATCACAATGGCAAGGAAAAGGAGGTAAAAACTATCTAAAATCTCAATGCATAAGAAAGCACGTTTTGATGACTGATCTCTTATGAGTTGTCTCTCTAAATGCACGGGTGTACAGAATACACTCACTCTGACATAGTTAGCATGATATTATAGACTTTGTCTTTATCATTGACTTTTGTCTCATTTGGGGTATTTTTACTGTTGATGATGATGAGGCTACTTTTGTCGTCTTGTTGGAGGGTGTTCAGGTAGATGCCAGTGCCTTTCCTGATATAAATAATGCTGCAATAAATATTCATGTGTAGGTTTCTTTCCTCTGAGTGCTTTTTGTCAACGGGAGTGAAGCTTCAGTGGAAATTATGGTCTGGCTGCCTGCCTGTTTCACTCCCCGTTTGTTCTGGACATTAACTAAAAATGTGCGGATCAGCCCTACACTGTTTTTCATGATAAATTTGATTTAGAAAGGGCAGCTCGGGCACTAGGTTTTTATTAGAATTTAGACATTTCCTCCTATGCGTTTATCCAATTTAGTGCTCGGTAAAGGGTGAAAAAAAGGACTTTCCACTGGAGATCTCACTTCACATTGAAATTTATATATTTGAGATTGTAGAAGTGTCTTTTTAAGGATTATGAAAGCTATTCTACATTACATAGCCTTGTCTAAAAAAAATATTTTCTCAAGGTCTTTTTTAAATTGAAATGCTGCATGCTATTTTAAGAACGATGAAAAGAACATCCCAGAGAAAATACTGTCAGTTTGATAAAACCAGCTTTTAGCAAATTCATGTTAACTCCCAGTTTCCCTCTGAAAGTGCTGACCAACTCATGCTCAGCAATTTATTTTTAATCTTTCAGACATTGGTGTAGACTTTTCTTATTATGTAGTCGTTTTTGTAGCATGCCATGTTTCTGTCTACGAAAACTGTATATAGCCTTTCGCTCTTCCATACCTAGGTTCGGTCTGGTCTCTGAAATGTCACCGACACTGTGATGTGGGTTTGGAAAGGACAGTGTTGCTGGGCTCATCGCCATGTATTTGCCTGTATGGGAACCGTCCATTTGTTTGTATTGATGTCTCGTCCACTGCACTCACGTACGCAGAAAGACATGGTCACTGAGAAAGACACACCTTCATTTTACGGAACTTGCAGTGTAGTGAGAAGACACCTAGTAAAGAAATGTACTTGCACATAAGTATCCAGTTACAACCGAGATGCCTGGAAGGGAAGTGCAGTGAGTGGCGTCACCTAGGACATCAGTTGACTGCTTCGATCGAGTGGAAACCTCAGAGAGGGTTTCCTTGAGGGAGGGTTGAGCAGAGAACTCGAGGCGAGTCAAGGGCTGAGATGGGAAGGAGAAGTCATGGTAGCATCAGTCTCAGAATGCCATGCTCAGAGTTTTGTTCCCAGGAGACGGAAGTCTTGGCTTTGGATGGCGGGTGCGTGGTGCAATATGCAGATGATGTGCCATAGAACTGCACACTTGAAGCCTGTATAATCTTATTAACCAATGTCGCCCCAATTGATTTAATTTAAGGAAGAGTTGCGGTCTTTATCTTAACCAAAATGCGATGTCAATACACAGTGAGGCGATGTGAGCAAAACGAATTGAGAAAGAATCGGTGTAGCTGTAAATTGGAGGGGAAATGTAGAAGACAAGGGAGTGTAGTGTCTCATTGGGAAGGCTTCTGCAAGAGTTCCGAAGAAATGCAGAAAGGGATGGTTTAGATCAAGGTGGCTGTGGGAATGGAGATGAACAAAGGCAGGTAAATTTGAGGACTAATGGGTTAGTTATTTACACAAATGCAGTGGAATTGGGTGCCATTTATTGGGATGTGGAAAACTGGGAGGACCAGGTTTTGGGGGGAAAGATCAGTGGTCTGGTTTGGAGCAAAGGAAGATGACAACTACTCAGGGAGATATGACATTCTGGAATTACCGGGTACTTCCATATACCAAGTAGTCTCTTTGAATAGTCCTTTTAAGTTCTATAACTCTATTTAAAACAAGAACTTTAAATAGAGTTTTATGGCTTTTTCTCATTGCTTGACATATTACCAGAAAGAAAATTATCGAAAGGTTTAAGAACATACTTCGTGTTTTGTGGAAGGGCTCTCATGCTTCCTAACGGGGGAGAGCGCGTGGGTTTTGTTGTGATTGTCGTGTTTGATTTTGTGTGTGTTTATTTGCATTCATGGGAAACATAATATAGTTATGTAAATGTTTTCCCAAATGCGGTGTGTGGCAGTGAATGGCCCCCACGTGAGCCGCTGCACGCCAAATAATTCAGATAAGGACAGGGCACAACAATGAACAGGGATAGCCAGTGAGACGGTGGGGATGTTATGCTGTTTTTGCAGAGCATCAGTAATTGTTGACACTGAAGGTGAAATGATCTTTAACAGACATCTAAGGACAGCCACCCCTTGTCCTGTGCAACATTCCATGCTATATCCTCCGTCACAGGTGTTGTGGTGGCATGCTAAGTATTTTCTATAAATCCAGATATGAAATATTAATGTGGTCTATAATCTGAGCTACTGACTTTATCTGGAGTATTAATGCTTTTGAATTTGTACTGCCACAATATTAACAGCTTTAAAATTAACAAAATCTTAAAGGTTTATAGAAGACCCTTAAGTGACTTTTCAATGGAGAATTTGATTAGTAGGTTTTGAGGATTTTGGACCCTTCTATAACCACTCTTTAAATAAAACTCCTTTATCTTTGCTTTTATTATTGATATGAGACCGAAAATGAAATTAAAAAGCCTATTTCATGGAACAGAACTATTATTCAAAAGAAAACTGAAAGGATATAACGTTTTTGTAATTTTAATTTGGATATTTTATTGTCTTCTCATGCTATTGTTATTTAAATATTTCCAACTTCAATCAAATGTTTAAATGAATGCATTTCCCACATTTAAAAAAAGTAACATCTGGTCTTTCTTTTCACAGGTCTCGTATCTTTTGGGTGAACCGGAGTCCGCCTTTGTGGGGCCTGCAGGTCACGTACAGTTTTGTTTATCCCTGCATTGGGGATGGATTCCTATTTCCTGGAGAAATACTGTGGGAGAGAAATGCTTGCTATTAAAAATGAGCTTGTCTTATTGCTTAATTAATCACGATGCACATTTTAGACAAACACGTTCACTGCTCTCTTCATGTTTGCTCGAGCCCTGCGTTCTGTCGTGAGAACTCGCGGTCAGAATTAGACTCAGGTCGCTGTCCAGGGCACGGAGAAAACCCAAGTCAGCCTGTGTTTTCAGCACCACTCATTCCTGTAACCAGCTTTCCAAATTCCAGTTACGCAATCCTTGAAAAATTAATCAAAAGTTCGTATCCAAGTGTCCTTGGTCTCTGGAACATGTGCGAATCTCAATAAATAATCAATAAATCAATAATCAAATGAACAGTTCATATTTCCAATAGCAAGAGCTTGCTACCGAGGCAGATAATTTGTAAATCAAATAAAAAGCGTGCCCTGGATTAGGAAGGCTGGAGGGAGGAGGGAGGCCACGGCGAGTCTGAGTCACTCTGTTGACGCACGCCCTGGAGTCCTCCCCTTCCTGTCCCCTCCCCTTCCTGGTGAACTTCACACCAGCAACCTTCGTGCAAGCTTCCGTCCTCACTTCTGTCTCCCTCCTCTGCATGCTTTTTATTTTCTGTCATCTTTCAACAGTAAAAATTATTCTAATAGAGGGACTTGGAATGACACGAAATGACTTTAAGCATCCCTGTTTATAAATAACCTTTAAAACACTTTGAAATCAACTGTTGGGTTCGTCTTTTAAAGTCAAGATGACTGTGAAGTCTGCGTTTTATAGGTGACAATGAATTCTTTCAATGATGTGTGTCTGGGATTATAATTATGAAGTCAGAGTTTTTACCATGTCTGGATATTTCATATTTTATTGAAGTCAAATTGCGTTTTACATTACTTTACACTGGCTTTCATTGCAGTGTCATGAACTTAAAAATAACTCTTTCACGTATTTCAGTGTGCACTGAAAATGCACTCTTTTCATCTCCAAATTATCCTCCAGGGAGGAGCGCATGTAAAATAAGTTAACATTTTTGCAAGGAGTTATATATGGTCCTGAAATACATGTTGATCTAGGCACATAGCTTTTGTCTCATACTGATGTTTTTAAATGATAATAGCACTTATTTCCAAATAGGAGTTTGAGTAATTCATGCTAAAAGCCTTGTAGAAGCCCTCTATCAAAGCGTCCCTCCAGGAAAAGGCAGGGATGATTCAGAGGCCTTGCGAAGAAGATTGAAGAGGTGTGAATTTTTTTATCATGACAACGTGCAGCTGATGTATGCACTTTTGAACACGTTTTATTTATATTCCCTTGCATTCACAAGTTTTTAAATTGTCCTTATGTTTCAAAATTCACCTCAACCAAAGTTTTCACTCCCATGGAGTCAAAATGTGAAACTCCAGGGAAATCTGTCTTTCTCCTGTAGGCTGTCCCGAACCTCAGAATCTGCCAGCAGATATATACTTGCTCTCTGAGTCACTTCTGGCCTGTGCTTGCTGATTTGGGTTCCATCCCTCTGCCCTAGAGGGCTGACAGGAACCTCTGGATCTCTCCTCCAGTTCCCCTTCCTGCTGCAGCCGCTGCCCCTGGTTAGGTCAGCAGTGGAACTGTACCTACAACAGGCAAGACAGAGAGAGGTGGAAGCTGTTCGGGGCAGGCAGGTCAAGCCCGTCCGGCTGCAAACGGGAAATTGGTTGTGAAGCTCATTCAAACACAAGCTGAAAGGCTGCTCAGGGGCTGACGTGGACCATTTTGTTAAGTGTTCAAAAGCCCGGCTCTTTCCTTCCGTGTGAGGCAGGCGATAGGGTGGACCACATCCAACCCAGGGTTCCTGTGCTTTTCTGCAGGGAACTGCCGCTTCTGGTGAATGCGCCTCAGACTCGGGCGGTGTTGCTGGCGGAGGGTGTTATTTGGGGGCGGGGGCAGAAAGCAGGGGTGTGAGGCCGTGAGGGATGCACACAGCAAAAACCTGTTCTTTCTGTATCACGCAAACTGCAGCCGGTCTGACTCTCCTAATCCCATAGTTTCATTAGGGATAATAAACCAGAAAAGATTTATTAAGGAGTATTAGAAATGGCCAAAGCTAAGCTGTAGTGCCGGGGACGACCTACAACCCACCTCCTGTATATGAGTTAATGTGCCTCGTAATACCTCCTATATCATATCTCACGTAAATATATCCAGATATATAATACACATATGCATACATTTATACATTCATTGACTTTATAAATTACCATAATCATGAATACATTATATTCTGTATAGTAGTATAATCATGGCTACATATTATTTTATTCTTATGATGTTTTCTCATAAAGTTAAAATTTGTATTTTAGGTTTTAGTGGCCTTGATAAGTCTGTTTGAAACGATCCTACTTGGTTATCTCAGTTATAAGGTAAGCTATTTTCATTAGAAATTTTCTGCTGACAGTCCACATTAAGAGCTTTTCCCCAGCCTTCCTGTCTTTATAATGCATACTCTGGGGATAAAGCAAGCCCTTCTTAAAGCACTTTAATTATTTTGAACCTCTCTAGTAGGTGATTTTAAAAAAGCTTAGTAACATAGTACTGTTCTCCTTGGTGGCTGGAACAGACTTGACTAACTCCTATGGGTTGAATTATCCGTTAGGTGCGTGCTCGTACGAGTCAAGCAAACGCGGTGGCCTGGCCCTTTCTCATTCTCAATCCCCATTCCCGATCCGTACAGAAAACACCGAGGGGACAAAAACATGCCTGCTAGGAACCGTTTTAAGGAATTCTTTTAGTTTTTGGCAGAGCTCTGCCTGGCGAACACAACCTAACCAGTGATTCCAGGACCTCTGTTTGGTAAAGAGCGCCTCGTGGTGCATGCTTTGCTTTGCTTTGCTTTGCTTTGCTTTTTCCCTGGGAGTTTATAGTCTGGAGGTGGGGCTGGGTTGGAAACACTGCACAGACTATGACAGAAGGCAGAGGAATAGGTGTTCTCAGTGAGGCCACGGGATGAAAAGGGAATCCTTGACTCATTCTGCGGAGCCCCGGCCCAATGATGTCACTGATGACAGGAGAGGAGACGGGACAATAGGGATTCATAGGATTAAGACAGGCATGAAGGAATGCACATATATAATCAAGAGAACGATAAATATTCAAGTGTGGCCAGAATATAGGGCATTTAGGGAAATATTGGTGCAAAAGGTTTGGGGTGATATTGTGAGCGCCTTGGACAGTAACGTGCACTGGGAATCGATGGAGGATGTTGCACGTGGGAGTTCTACAGTAGTAATTAAGTCTGAGGGCTATTCATTCAGAACTTCTGGGCCCCCGCAGCTCAGAGAGACATCACCCGGAAGGCCTTGCTGTGCTCCGTGAAGACACCGTTGCCGTAAAGGAAAACTGGGAGTTCGTGTTTGGCTGGGGGAAATGAACAGACGAACGGGATGCAAGATGAACTATGAACGTAGACACTGGAGAAATCAACTGGTGGTTGAAGGGAGTGAGTTCGTTAAGTGTGGAAAAATATCCAAGGGCGAAGCCAGGCTCATGTTGGTGGGGATGCTGGTGTCATCGTTGTTGGAAGTTGCTGGAAGAGGACCACAGCCATCAGGGAAGACGGAAGTGGACCAGAGGGAGAAAGTTACCAGAATGGGGGTCGCATTCAGCACTGATTTTCGGTTCACAGTTTCTGCATGTGCGTCACCCCATGCTCTGTTTTGGGGGGAACTCTCTATCTGGCAGACACCGATCTTCCTTTTTAAAACATAGGGGTTTGAAGACAACATTCCTTAGACGACTTTTGAATCCTAAATTTAGAGCAAGTTCAATCCCAAATGAAGCCCTCTCTCGGGTGCGTGTCCTGTTCCAGGGACCACAGGTTTGATTCTCCGGGGTCTGTACGTGGTTCCCAAAGAACAGGCCCCTTTGTCTTAAAACTGGCCTGCACATATTACAACAGCCAAGTGCTGGAAGCAACCTAGGTGCCCATCAGTAAATGAATGGATCAAGAACTATGGTACATTTACACAATGGAATTCTATGCAGCAGAAAGAGAAAAGGAGCTCCTACCCTTTGCGACAGTATGGATGGAGCTGGAGAGCATTATGCTGAGTGAAACAAGCCAGGCAGTGAAAGACAAATACCATATGATCTCACCTTTAACGGGAACCTAAACAACAAAACAAAGAAACAAGCAAAATATAACTAAAGACACTGAACTAGAGGACAGGCTGACAGTGTTCAGAGGGGAGAGGGGAGGGAATTTCAGGGGAAAAGGGGAAGGGTTTACAGGAACAAGTATAAAGGACACACAGATAAAAAACTAGGGGTGGGTGGAAATGGGAGGGAGGAGGGGAGGGCTGGGTGGGTGGGCTGGGATGGGAGTAAAAGATAGAAAATTGTACTGCAACAACAATTAAAATAAAATAAAAAAAACAAAAAAAAAACTGGTCCAACTGGGTGTTTTGGCTTGTTCACATCTCAGCCTTCTTTCTCCCCACGGGCTCCTTATATTTGATGTTTCGGGCACGGGTGTCAACATTACACCATCTCCCTGCGCGAGCCAAGCTAAGCGGGTCACTTGAGTGCTTCTCATTTAACTCGAGGAGCTGGCAGATGCCGCTTGGCCCCTGTAACGACTCCACACAGAGGAGCTGGTTCTCACTGCTTCCGTTTCTTCTACCTGCGCTTCCTGCCTTTTTTTTTAATATAGTCTGGAGAGAGAGACAAGCTAATGATAAAAACGCCTGTCACTGAATATTTTAGCACATGGACCATAGCCATTTGAGAACCGGGGGCAGGAATTTTCCATCACTGCAATGTTTTAAGCCTTTGGGACTGCCAGAAAATGAAGAATGAGTCTTAAGTTTTTAGGCAGTGTTTGAAAATAATTGGAAGTTACAGGGAACCAGACTGCAAACTGATTTCCTATTACACAGATGTCTTCATCGGAGATAAGCTGCTTTAGGAAGTTCTGAGTTGTGTTTCGCTGGACGTCAGTCAAGAAAGTTTCAGTGGCGAGGACTGTATATCAGGGTGGACTTCCTGGGCGTGTCCTCTCGGCCGCTGCGGGGGCCCTGGACCTGGTGTAAGGCTCTGATGTCGGCTTCTGGCAATTGTTCACAACTTGTTAATAAGAAGCCCTGCTTTTGCTTTTGCACCGGGCCCCTTGACTTGTGTAGCCAGCCCTGCTTGCGTGGGTTGGTAGGTTTGAGAATCCCCTTCGTTTATGTTTTCTCATCATCAAAACAATGTTACTATCGATGAGCTTTGTTAACACGTAGTGTGTTTGGGATCTATTTCATAAGCTTCGAGAAATGCCTGAGATTTTACTGCCTATATTTTCCTCTAAGGTTTTTTTTATGGTTTCATGACTTACATTTAAGTCTTTAATCTATTTGGAGTTTATTCTTGTGTATGGTGTAAGTTGGTGATCTAGTTTCATTTTTTTTTGCGTGTATCTGTCCAGTTTTCCCAACACCATTGTATGTGCTTGACTCCTTCATTAAATATTAATTGAGCATAAAGGCATTCATTTATTTCTGGGCTCTCTGTTCTGTTCCATTGACCTATGTGTCTGTTCTTCTGCCAGTGCCATGCTGTTTTGATTACTATGGCCATGTAGTATAGTTTGACATCAGGTAATGTGATACATCCAACTTTGTTTTTCTTTCTCAGTGTGAATATATTTACTATAGTAAACATTATAATTGTCACTTTTTATCAATTATACAAGTTTTGTTAGCCTGTTTTATTTTTACTGGTGAATTTTCTTTGATCAAATATGATATGATCACATGTTATGTGCAATAATCAAGGATTACTGTAACATTTGAATTGCTTCTTAAATTTACCATGAAGTTGAGAGGGCACGGTTACATTTAGAAAAATAATCTCTAAAAGTTATTGCTACGCCTTTATATGATAATTCAAAGAAATTATGAGTGCTGTCTTTTGCTCCCTTTAATGGGATTTGGTATAATTGACTTTTATTTTTATTCATTCTTTCCTGAAAGGGGAACATCTGGGAACAGATTTTACGGGTACCTTTCATCTTGGAAATAGTTAACGCGGTTCCCTTCGTTATCTCGGTAAGTCCTAAAATCATCTTTTAAAAATAATTTTGTCATTAGATTGCAGTGAAGTCTTTCAATACCAATGCTAATAAAAATATTTAACTCAAATAAATAAAGTTAGGTGTTGGTTAGAATCATAGTACTAAAAAATAAATAGTGAAATCTGTTGAGTAGCTAGATTGTGAAATTAAATGAACACTAATGAGATTCAGTACGATGGTAAAATGAGATGCGTCTTAGAAATGTATGGTCTAGTGGTGCCATTTAAACAAGTACCAATATTGTCTAAACAGACTAGAAATCGCTCCATTTCTTGTGTGTATTGTGGAATTAAAAAATACAGAAACCAGGTAGAACCACAAACTTGTAAACATGTCTCAGACTGAGAATACACTCATCTCTAGTTTAACCACAGGGTTTACTAGGTCCAATTCTCTCCTTAACAAGAAAGTTGCCAACAGCTAGACAGCCAGCAACTTGCTTCTTTATCAGGTCGATGGCTTACCAATTCCACGAAGCTTCTGTTCAATTGCATGCTTCCGCTACAAAATTTGGTTTTAATTTCTGTTTGATAGGGTTGTAATAATGTCTGTAGGGACTATGCTTTCCAACACTCTGAGTTTTATTTGGAAAACTATGAAAATAAGAAGATATTTAAAGCTGTTGCTCACTTCTGAGAATTATTTCAATATGAGTAATTTATCTAGAGAAGCGACTGGAATTAGATGAAGTGGCTAAGTAAATGTAATTCCAATTAACCATGGTTCCCCAATGTCACTTAAAATGTCTGGGTCCCGAGAGTGAGTGGTGCTATTAGGAAAGGGGGGGCTTTCTTTCTTTGTCCTACTCCCCCCCCCAAATTGCAAAGAAGAACGAGGCCGTGTCTACTCTAAACTGTCACAGCAAGAATTTAATGGTAGAATTAGCATAGTTATATCTGACATCCAGTGAGAGCTTATTATTTTCTTTCTGCTTCTACAATAATTTTCCAAAGAATTTTTCCGTAAGAATGAGACAGTGAATGAAAAGATCATATCTGCTCCTTGCATTTTATTAATAATAGGCATTAAATGTACTTGTCACATATTTTAAATTGTTATATTGTTTTTAATAAATTTTTCGGTTTTACATTTCTTTTAAATCTGCTGGATATGATTCCTTGCTTTGAGATAAAAGTGTAGTTTTGATTTATTTTTTTCAGATATTTTGGCCTTCCTTAAGGAATCTCTTTGTCCCAGTCTTTCTAAACTGCTGGCTTGCCAAACACGCCTTGGAAAATATGATTGTAAGTATGAAAGGGATATGCAGATGCAAAACTCTCCCTCCATCTTTTATTGTTTCTTGCTCTCCGTGTTCGGATTAACCAGAGAGAGAAAATGAGTCGGCGTCTGTGCCTCATTACTTTTTCATTCTATTTCCCCCCCATAAAATATAAATTCATACTGCTGGAATTTATTGGGTTCCAATTAAATATCTAACTGTTTTATTTTTAAGCTTCTTTTACATGAATATCGTATCTTAGTAAATAGCATCATTTAGACGTTTGTAGAAAGGAAAGAATTCTGGTGAAATGCCCTCAGATAATGACAGTGACACGTTGGAGAGACGTCTAAGCTAATGACCCTGTGTGACCGACCGGTCTGCCTGTGTCCTAATAGAGTGAAAACTTGCAAAATGCCCTTGCGGCCCAGTCACTGCCCTTTTCAGGTCCTATGAACCGGTGAACCAAAATGATTTAGATTTTCTAAATATGACCACTCCACAGCCAGCGGCTGCTTGGACTGGTCCCAGGAGTGAGTCATCTTCTGGAGACAGATAACCTCCCCAGACATGTAGCTGGACCCTTGGTTTTCAGGGTTCAGGAAGTCACAGAGTCAAACTTCCCAACTGTGCTGGGCCCACGTTTTGTAAAAATCTGTGGGGCTTTATAAGGCCCTGTAGAGGAGGTGGACGACCCTCAGTACAAGTCATCTTTTTAGATTTGGCTGGGCTGTGAATGGGGTATTTTCGGAGGGATAAACGGAATCAGGAAGCCAGGGATGCCGGTTTCAGAGTGTGCCCGAGGCTGGCCCTGCTTGGAAGGACTGGTTTATAACTCTGACCAGAATACGTTGACGGTAGGGCTCAGGGCTTACTTGGCAGTGAGATGTAAGACATTTGCTGCCTGGTCTTTTATTCTATAAACGTTAAAGTCAGTTCACTGTGTGCTAATCACTGATAGGATAGCCAAGCGAGTTTATTTCTTTATCTTCAGAAGAGAATAAAAGTGCCCACTCTTCAAGCTTGTTGTGAGAACTAAATAAAATTATAGATACATAAATAAATATGAATGTATGTACATATATCCATAAACATAGTAAAGGCTCAATATTATTCATGTTACTAAAAGGAAATGAAATATTTTTTTCTGGAGGTAGACTTGTTTTTCTTTTAAGTGGTTTTTCAACAGAAATTACGACACAAGTTTTGGCCAGAAGTGATATTTGGATAACATTTGAGAATTCATAGCGGATGAATGTTTCTAAACATCCATGTTAGCTGACCTCTGGAGTCTCATGGCAGTGCCTGGCCAGACGTGGGTGAATGTGGCCCGCGGGGCGGTCTGCAGAAACAGACCTGCCTTAACTCTTCAAAAAGAAAAAAAAAAAACATTTCACTAAATAGACATTGCCTAAATTGTTGATGAAAGAAATGCACCGGAAAAAAAATAAACCTCTGTGCTAAATTGAGTTGTTTGTTGCTGGAAAAAATAACCTAACCGAGGGAGAAGTGGTCAGTCCTGGAGAATAACAGGAAGGCTTTGCAGTACTAATTTAGGACCCATTTTCCATTGCGATATTTCTGGATTTTGCTTCTCATGCTCTCACTGGTTGCTCAATTTCTTTGGTTTTTCTGCTCATTAACACCTCTGTTAAAAGAAAGCAAGGGTTGAGAGGTGAAATTCTATTCACCTTAGTTTTCTGTTAATGTGGCAGTTCTGGTTAAATGTGTGGTGGAGGAAGAAACTGCTGGCTCTTTGGGATTTTATGTCGGTGAAGTTATCTCCCGTTCCATTGACTTGAAGACCTTTAACAGTTTATTATTTAAAAACTTGAGATGAACTGAAAACTAGAAAGGAAAAAATTATGAAAATCTACAAATCTATCACACTGAATACTAGTAATAATGTATATCTTGTATTTTATATTAACAGACATATCATACATTAAATTGTATTGTATGTTTAATTTTATAATTTGAATTTTTATCATATGCTAGTATGTAGTAAACAAGTTCTTATGTCATTAAATATTCCTCTTCAAATCAATTTAATGGATGTATCTAAATCTATTATATGGTTTGATCAATTTATTTAACTATTTTTGTATTGCATATTTTAGTTATTTTGATGGTAATGAGCATTCATTATTTCATATAGTAAATGTAATTTTGTAATGAAGATAAACAAATCATTATTGATTTCCATTTTTGATTATTTTCATGTAGTTAATTTTTTAAAATTATGTTATTGAGTAAATACTTAATAAATGAGTGAATGAACTACAAAGGACATACTTGTGAATTATGACCTGAATTCCCAAATTTCCATCAAGAATGATAATAAATTGCATGAGCAGTAATAAAAGTGAGAGCTCATATTTTTGCATCTTTAACAACAGTGGGTGTTACTATTTGTAATGTCTTTCAATTGCAAAGATAAAAACATAAATCTTGAATTCACAATTCTTTTAATAGTAATGAAATTGAACTTAAAAATATTTGCTCAATGGCTATTCAGCTTTTTTAATGATAAATTGTCTGGAGCAATTCCTGATTCAGGGAATAAGACTTGATAGCAGTTTGACCAAACTTTTACTTTCTCCCTAATGGAGTATATTATTTTCTGATCTTTTAAAATTGAAATTGGCCATGAAAGATTATGCTTCTAGAGGGCTTTGGGGGAGTCGGTTTCTGCAGATGTTTGTAAAGTGAATAACTAAAATTTGGTGCTTTTGTGGGCCTCCTACCCTATTGCCTTTGTAACAGGAATGTTTCGGTAAGATCTATTTTGACCCAGGCAAACATGAAACTGTGCTACCATATACATTTAAAGTATGTGTCCTGAGTAGGCACAAGATAGTTGAAATACAATACATAGTAATAATTGTAATGAACTCATGAATATGTAATACTTATCACAACTTAAAATATGTTTTTTTGTTTTATTTTAGAATGATCTACATAGAGCCATTCAGCGCACAGGGTCTGCAATGTTTAATCAAGTTTTGATTTTAATATCTACATTACTATGCCTTATCTTCACCTGGTAAGATTGCACAAATCAGTGTTTTTATTATGCTTTGTTGAACCATAGTTTTAAAAGTTCTTATAAGCCGTTTTAGTGAATAATCAGATAAAAATCAATTAATCATTCGATTAATGTTCACTATGAAATGGGCGGGGTCGCCTACGGAAATAGAAGTGACATCCTCCGGTCTTACAGAAGCAGCAAGGAGGCACTTCTATCGCGTGGTACTGGTATTCACAGCATCTCTGGCATTTCCCCAAATGCTGTGAACATCCGACGCACGCGTGTGCCCTGCGTGCCACAGACGCCACACACGGATTTCTCCTTCAAACCGCTGACGTGGGGGTGCCTGGCTTTTCTAGCCTTCGAAGCGGAAACGCCGTGAGAGAGCTGCCACTGCCCGTCACGGGGTCCGCCGGTGCCTTCTCTGGGTGACATGTTCGTGTGCACGCAGGCAGAAAGCGGGGCAGACCTCGAGGTGCTTGGCTACGGAAAACAGTTGTTTCTTCTTTTGGAAGGTCCCGCTTTGGCAATTAAAACGTAAACCACGTGAAATCGGGCACTGCCCGTATGGACTCATGCAGATCCGTAACTAGACAAATAATGTGAATACCCAAAAATGAGGTAGAATAATGTTCTGTTTTGTAGGAGTCTTACACATTACGTGTGGTTGTGCTCTGCCCTGGAGTTGACCTACTGAGAGATAAAAAGCTAATTAGGAAGTACTAAAGGAGGAGTGTACTCAGACACTCTTACAACTGAACGAGCTATGAGCAGAGCCATAGGTACACGTATTTAAACACATTCATGCCCCGTTCACAACTGGATATGGTCTGAGAAATTCGTCACTGGGTGATTTCACCACTGTGTGAATATCAGAATAATAATGAGTTATGCTATGATGTCAGCTAGGCTACGACATCACTAGACGATAGGTTACAAGATTACAATGGCCTGAAAAATTCCATTTGGTTTGCAGTTGACTAAATGTCATTATGTGGCATGTGATTGTCTCAATTTGGAAATAAGGTATGACAGCCTGTTTGCATCAGTATGCGGCTAATATGTCTATTAAATGGGCTTAAAATATATTTCATGGCATACTTTTATATTTAAAAACTAAACATTTTAGCATATTTTATGTCTTTAAACATAAAGTATCCCTCTGAAATTGTCACAATGCCATCTTATTAAATTTTTTTCCCTTCTCACAAATTGTTTTTTATTGCATACCGAGGAAATATCTAACTTCATAAGTGTGAAATACTAACAGTAGTGACCTTCCTTCCAATGTCACTAAAAATTCTTAATTTTAAGGTAAGGCAATTATTTGAATAATTTAGGAGATTTTTTCCATTTTACTTAAGGAAAACTACTTGAAATTAAAAATTTTATATACATGTACACGGGCCAGTATTTCCATTGCTGGAAAATTACAAAAAATAAAACAAATGATTTCTAAACAATGTGGGAAATCTGTTAAAGTAGAAATTACCATTATTTTTTTCTGCCTGACCCATAAATGAAGGATATCTCAGATATGTGTGTATGTTTTGTATGTATTTATCTATGTATATGTGTATATCTCATAGAATGTAAAATATATATGCACATACATATATGTAAATATATATACACACATATACAAATATATCTATATACACAGATATATTATATTTTGTGGTGATTACAGCCATAATTAACTGCTGTTATATCATAGAGCAAGGCTATCGAAGCTTTTGGAAATCGGAACTTTTTTTTTAAGATTTTATTTATTTATTTTTAGAGTGGAAAGGGAGGGAGATAGAGAGAGAGAGAAACATCAATGTGCGGTTGCTGGGGGTCATGGCCTGCAACCCAGGCATGTACCCTGGCTGGGAACCAAACCTGCAACACTTTGGTTCGCAGCCCACGCTCAATCCACTGAGCTACGCCAGCCAGGGCTGGAAATCGGAACTTTTAACATGTACATTGTTATTGAAGCCCCGAAAGCTCCGGGACTAATACTTGAAGCATCGGCAGCGTTGCTCACAAGTCCCACCATCTTACAATCACCTGCTTTGGAAAGCCAGGACTTAGTTTTGAAATGTCACGTCTCTCCATCGTTGTTAACATCACAAAGAACCATCATTAAGCATCTGTCTGCCGGAGACACGTGCTCAGTGCCCGGCCGGAATGCAAATGGAGCCCCCACCCCCCACCCCCCTTTGTGGGGAGTGCGCTCAGCATCGGTTTTCCTGCCATTGTGATGGAGCTGGATGGACCTCCCCACGTCTGCTTGTCGCACCCCTCCCGGTCGCCCGCACCCACTTCCCCGGCAGCTGTGACTCGGGATTCTGCCTGCGTCTCTGTGGCAAACAAGTAAACAGGCACGTGCGGGAAGGAAGTGCATGACTTTAGCCTAATTATTAACGTACTCTGAGCAATAATAAGTACTCTCATTCATAATGCACTGGGCGTTCTCAGGCGCTTGTTGGCTTATTTTGAGCCAACTTCACTTCAAACTTCAGTTTTTTACTTCAGTATGTCCATTTACGTATTTTTTATGTTATTTCACAGTTATTACATAAAGAAATCTATTAGGCTGATGGATAGTTCATGTTTTGGTCAAACATGAAACATTTAATCTACATTCTCAGTCTTGTTTCAGGAGAAAAGAAATGTATTCATTGATTTCTTTGAAAATGCAGCTTAGTTCAATGTTATTAGCGTGCTTAACTCAAGAGTATCTGGTATTTTTGGAGCACCTTTGATTGACAGTACTTGACCTCCAGAGGCATGGATTCTTCTAGTTACTGATTCAACTCGAGGGCAATAGCTGCATGGGAACTGGCCAGGGCAGGGGTGGGTGGTACCGTTTGCAAAAAGTATGAGAGCACGGTCTATTGGTGTTCCCACCATCATATTTGATTCTTAGTCTTGATTGGTCGCATGGGCTTGGCTCATGTTATAAATGAAGGACAGGAAGTCCACGTGTCTGAGCATCTGGCCCGACTGCCAGCTCCAGGGTACACTGGATGGGGCAGAAACCTGTTGTCCCAGCTCAGTTTTGCACAAGCGAGCAGCCAGGTTCGGGGCGGCTAATTGGCCAAGTGAGGCAAGTTTCATGTGAAAGGGAAGAGAATGTGGTCATGTAACCTATGTAAATAATAATGAGGTCATTGTTATTAGTATAAAAATCTAGGTAACTTGGTTTGGGGTTAAAGTTTTGTTTCCAACAAGCTGCTTTTGAAACACGACATCAAGTGTGTTGTTATTTTCACACATGCAGACCCTGAGGATGATGGCTAAGGTTCCAAGTGGTTACTACCGTCAGGCACATGTCAGAGCATGTAACCTGTATTAACTGATGGAATTTTCAACAGTCTAGAAAGTAAATTCTGTCATTATCCTCATTTCATAGGCACAAAATAGTAAAGGAATTTACAAAAAGGAACAGTTAAGCAGACCTGCCTTAAATGTTCATCTGTCTGCTCTGGGCTGTGGTAAAACTTCAGAAAGAAAGACTTTGCTTACGGGGGAATGAGAACCAGTCTAATATCTGTGGTCTCCTCTGAGCTAACACCTTGCTCACAAATTCCCGAGGAAAATTGATTTAGGACCCAAAACTTGATACAATGTAAAGCATTGGTGAATTAAGAGGGTCCCGTATAGTTGTTTTCAGAAATACAAGAACTTAGAAAGTATGCTGCCTACATCTTCCAGCGAAGTACTACAGAGGTAGGAATAAAAGGAAAAAGTGAAGGTTATATGTGCAGTGGGACACACAGCAGAACACATTGGCACTGACCTTGGGAAGCTGCTTTCACACCGCATTTTACCAGGAGTACGTACCGCTGCAGGCTTAGCCAGGCAGAAGTGGGGACCACGTTATCATACTCTACGGTGCAGACAACGAGCCAGGGGAGGTTCCCCGTGAAAAACGAGGGGGAAGGAGGGAGAAAAAGCCCGAGTCCTCGGCGCACACCCGCCAGGAACCGGGGACGTGGAATGGTCCCCACAGGAAGAGTTCTGAGCGAAGCGCTCGTCTGCACTAGTGTCCGGCCAGCCGCGTTGGCCGCGCCCGTGTGAAAACCCCTGACCCGAAACCCGCATGCGCAGAGGGTGCACCGCACAGGAGGTCTCATTCAGAAAATCAGGACGAAACCTAGCCAGTTAAGAAATGAAATTCAAGAAAAAGAAAGAAGACTTGGCGAAAGAGTTAAGAGATAAATCAGCTTTGTTGAAGCATCGGGCATGCACCCTCAGCTCCCAAAGAGACTGGGAAGTGTCCTAGTGGTGAAGACGACAGCTAACACGTATTGAAAGTTTGCCTTCTTTGTCAGGAAATTCCCTTTCTTTCCTTTCCCCTCTATTAAATTGTTTAACTTTGCACAACATTCTATGGCAGATATTATCATCTTCATTTTACAGACTAGAAGCTGAGGCACGGAAAGGCTAGACCAAAGGCAGCCGTAGTTTGTGTTATCCGAGGCTCCCAGGGCAGAGAAAGGAGAGCTCAGATGCGGACCCCGCTGCTGTCATTGACCCATTCTGGTGTCATGTACATTGTGTCCTGGGAGTCATTAACCTGGGCACATAAACTTAATAATCAAGCCAAAGAATCAAACAGAGTTATAATTTTCTCATCTGTCACAGTCGATTTTTAAGTTACTGTTTCGAGAATTATAATGTAAGAAAAGAGATTAAGATGGCAATTATTAAAAAATTTTTGTTTTTTCTCATATTTCTTCCTTTGAATTTTTTCATTGCTAAATTTTCACTCTGCTTCAGCCATCTGATCTAAATCCTGATTCTCTGCAGAAAAGTCTGCTCTTCACCGGTTATTTTGAAATAAAGAAAATGTGTGTCTGTGCATCGTGGGATGAGGGGCGGTCCCTCTTCGTGAGTCACTCAACTGCAGTATAAGTGGATGTCATTCAGATGAATAGCTTAGGACATGACTCACTAACCCTTGTTTTGCGTAGACACAAGGACAACGTCCAGAGGAACAAGAACTTTCTTCCAACAATAGAAAT